ATCCGACAGTCAATTTTTGACCCTACGGACATTATCATCCGTTTTTCGCAGTGTTGGGAATTTGTGATTATCGGGTATCAATTGCACATAATGAGACTAGAGATGACAAGCGTTTCAACACAACAAAAGTCGGGTTAATTAGATATTGGATGAGGAAGTTATCGCCGGTCAAATCTCGGTTAAATTTTTCCAATTAGCGAAAAGGCCCGGGAGCACAAAATCACGCCTAGAGGTTTTGGAATTGAACGAAAATTTCCGGACCTCTAAAAGGTGGTATGATTTTTGAAAATGTTGAGTCACCAAAACGGCGTCCGATTGATAAACTCGAGTCTTAAGCCTCTGGATGGGCCAAAACCTTGGATCCGTAAGTTCCAATTTTAGTTATAAATATTGGGCTGTGGGGAAATATCTCGACATGACTGTTCCAACTTTGCAAAAATCACTCGAATCGGATGATCGAATGGGGAAGTTAAAAGGATCAGAAATTTGCATGCTTCAAGCTGACGTGTGCACACCTCGACCTGAGGTGGCCGCCTCGACCTTTAAATACCCCCAATTTTCATCCTTTAGATTTGTTGGGTCTTCGCCTTGTTACTACTCTCTTGAATTTCTCTTATTTTAATAGTGGTACTTTCGTTTTCTCTCGTCTCGAGTTATTTCCTCAACACTTCATTGGAACCAAGGTTTTTGGGCTCTTGAGGTAAGTCCCCATTGCCCTCTCTTCAAATTTCAAATAAAAACATACGTTAAGATGTTGTAATGCTCGTTTAGAATCATAGATTCCAGTATACATTGTTATGTTGGCCGTTTGAAAAGTCAATAATGCATTTTTTTGGGTCGTCGTAATGTCGATCTTAAAATCTTAAGGTTTAGAATACGTCAGTATGCTACCTGTGTAAAAAGTCAAAAACGCATTTTCTTAAGTTTGTCGTAATGCTAAAATGAAATCTCAAGTCCTAGAATGTGTCGTTTTGCTACCAAATTATGCATGTTCTTAGACCTTCATAATGACTGCTTTGGACCTTAGATGTGGAATTAGGCCATCATAGTGTTGGCTATGCTAGAATGCAACCTGCAGTTGTTGATGATATAAACTTTGGCTGCGTTTAGTCGTCTAGATAAAAGTTAGGATATAATATGTTTTATCCTATTTAGTGTTTGGTAGCTGTCCAGGACAAGATAAAGGGAATATGGGGGGATATAGCTAGGATGAAAAAATCTCGTGGGGATTGGATACAGCCAAATAGGATTTCTCAAGAAAGCGGCATACGAGAAGAACCATGTTTTTCCCACAACCACACCTCTCCTCCACACCCAGCCGCCTCTCCGCCATACCGGACTGCCTCTTCGGCAGCGGTGACTGTCAAGTGTGGCCTTGAACTTGAGTGGAAACGTCATGATAAAATCTACCAAAGCAAATACTGCAATGCAATGGGAGTGACAACCTAATAAAATCAACGACCTTTACGAACAAATTGGTCATAGTGCTGGGAAGGTTAGGTTGTGGTGAAGAGCTCGACAGGCAAGACTAATCAAGTGGCGGGTACGTCGAGTCCAAGTCATAGCAATGGTAGGATTGGGCCGTGAACGGAGGCGAGGCTGTTAGTGAGAGATGGCCGAAGATGGAGACATTGCAAGGAGTTCCTAGCATGGCGGAGGACTAATGTGAAGCAAGGAGGCATGGCCCAAATCAAAGGAGGGCGTCGAGACAATGGTGCTCGCTTGGCATGGTAACGACTTGCCGGAAAATCGGGTGAAGCTACAGTGGTGAGAGCTGGCCACGTCGTTGAACGGCAGAGTAGCAGCACTTTGGGGACGCGGCAGTGGCAAGAAACTGGACAACGGCTGAGTATGAGGGTAGAGGCCCTTAAAGGAATGACGTCGAAAAGTAAGCGAAGAAAGAAAAGATGCATCAAAGCCTTACTAGATTCCCAGCACTAACGACAAACCCAAAACATAGTCAATCTCAGCCGCGCCTTGCCTCTGCTTATTCGACTTTAATTCCGTAGTTCACTAAATAACAGATAGGATATGACCAAATTCTTGATCCTATCTAATCTCATCTTGACTAGAAATCCGGATGATCAAACAGATCCTTCGTCGTTTAGAAGGGATATAAGGTAGTTAATGTACGGAAGTGCTTACATTGGAATACACCCTTTCATTTGTGAGCCAACATGGGTCATATACCAAAGGGATTTGGTTTAAGTGTTGCATAGATTATTGTGATGTGACTGGAGGTCAAAAGCCAATGTAAATCGCAATTCAAACCCATGAACTAAGGTCCCTTGCATGTGATCATTCATTTCATGATTTAGAATTCAATTGTGATTCTCTTTTGACCTGGCCGAAAGGAAAATGTGTGTTTCTATATGAATGCTACCATGTCCGCCCATCTTGAGGTAGCCCATTTCACCTATAAATAGCCTTCAATTCTACTCATTTTGAGAGGAGATTGGAGATCCTAGTCTTGGTCCCAATCCCTGCGGCGCTATCTTAAAATTCTCTCGGTTTGGTCACGATCTGACACTTTTCCAGGTTCTTGCACATTCGAGGTAAATCCCAACACCCTCGATTTCAATTTTCAATAGAAATGCATGTTAGGATATAATGATGTTTGTTTAGAATTTTTTAATCGAAAGTACATCATTATGTGCTCGTTTGAATAATAGTAAACCATTCTTAAGCCATTGTAATGTCGAGTTGAAATCTCTAGTCTAAAAGTACTTAGTTATCCCTCTAGGCTATCATAATGACGATTTTATTTATTAGATTTGAATTAGGCTATCAGGATGATGGCTATGTTGAAATTGCCTAAAATTATATGAAAAATACTATTCAAAAATTCAAATTTAAAACATGACTCCACATAGATTCCAAAAATTGCATTTGGATTTTCGACTTTGACTTCTAAGTCATTATCATGCCTCCTTCAATGTGTCTTTTCCAAATCACACGTTATGCATAACCTATTTATGAAATACACATTCACATATAATGGGATCACTCAATATGCAAATTGATGCGATCTTTTCGCTCGACTGCATATCCACCAAAACTCCACTTACAAACTCTTTTAAGGAAATGCACGGTAAATGTGAATTAGGTCTTAATCAAGAAGTTGTGATATCGAGTGGGTGTTGTTGGGTAATAATCCGTCCCTTATGTAACCGAACTCCGGACCTCAACCTCTTATTATCGCTCTTAGACCAATCACCTTGCACGTCTCTTAGGTAGTAATTTTCCCTATAACTGCTTAGGTATTTTCGGAAAGAGATTGTTGAATAAGTCCTAAATATATTATGTGATGTCAATTTAGTCCTAAACTTTTTGCGTAAAATTTCAATTCAGTCCTTTCGGCCAATTTTTGTCGAAAATCACCGAAGTGGCAATGTGTGAGGTAAGACTGCTGGCGATGATTGGACCGCACATCAGCAATTTCTAGAAAAATTGGCCAGAATGACTATATTAGAATTCCGCGTAAAGGTTTAGCACCAAATTGACAAAATTAAAAAGTTTAGAACTGAATTAGCATTCGTACAATAAGTTTAGAATTGATTGGGTAATTTTCCCGTACTTTAGATGTCCAATTAACCTAGGTGAAATAAATCGGTCGGTGGCGACTCCTCTTTGCTTATAAGTGTATTAAAATTCTTAAAAGTTGTCACGAAAGTGTAATTGATCTTAAAACTTTAAAAAAATGCAATTAAGTCATAAAACTTATCACGAAAGTGCAATTTAGACCTAAAATTTTAAAAAATACAATTAAGTCCTTAAACTAGTCAAGTTGGTGCAATCAAATCATTCAATTAACTCCGTCCAACTTGACAAATGGAAAATGCTAATAAGTTTTAGGATTTGATTGCTCCAACTTAACAAGTTTTAAGACTTGATTGTACTTTTTGAAAGTTTTGGTACTCGATTGCACTCTTGTGATAAGTTTTAGGACTTGATTACATTTTTTGAAAGTTTTAGAACTCGATTGCACTCTTGTGACAAATTTTAGGACTTGATTGTATTTTTCGAAAATTTTAGAACTTAATTGCATTTTCCATTGTATTTATCCCAAAATATTATTATCGTCTCTTGTGTATTTGAAGTTAAAACTATAGTTGAATTCTTCCAAAATATTATTATTATTATTTGGTTCCTTAGAATTTTGGTGTTGTGGTTAAGAGTAACCTCACCAAATAGAGGGAGTTGCAGCTCCTGCGGGACCTTCATCATCAATCCTTATTCTGTGAGACGAACTCCATGAATGTGTTCCTTATTTTAACATGTCCTTACATCCCTAATTCTCCCTGCATCTTTGTCTTCGCCAATAAGAGGGAATACTTTCTACTTCTTTTATATCCATGTGATCCGAGATCCGAACGAGAACCTAGATGAAGCCTTTTAATAACATGCTTAGGTCCAAAACGCCTCATATTATTAAGGATTAATACCATGAAAAATTTCAAACTGATACAGCTGTGACAAATTTATCTTAAATTAATTTTTTAACTATAAAAACTTTCAAACTGGTACATTTGTGACAAATTTACCCCGAACTAATTTTATGACAATAAAAACTCCCAAACTGGTACACTTGTGATAAATTTACCCTTCATTAGTTTCCGTCAAATTGGATTAATATCACGAAAAATCACAAATTGATACACCTGTGACAAATGAAGAACTAAATCCCAAACTGATACACTCGTCAACTACCACGCGTCATCCGTAGGATTTGAAATTTTTGGCATGTGTCGGAGCTGATCGTGAGTTTCTTTAAATTCTATGCAATCCTGTCATGCTGATGTTCCTATTGAGGAAGGTGACTCAGATTTAACATAGATTGTCACATATTTATCAAATTAATTTAAAATAAATTTATTACATATTTACCTATTTGAGGTTTTTTGTGATATTAAATTATTACGAACGCACCTATAGTGCCTCGTCTTCTGGGGGTTTCTTTTTCTAGAAGGGTGAGAAACTTCTGCACTCGTCCAAAGAACCTCTCAGCGATACGGCCATTGTTAGTTCATCCTTCTCGGTTAATCCCGCTTCAGCGAGAGCAGCAGGCGATCGATGAATTCAAATCCCTCGCTTCGCCAGCTCGAGCTCGAATCTTTTGGCTACGGAATGCAATAATAGGGACGATAGAGCATATACATACCCAAGGAACCAGAGTTCCCCATTCAGCGGAAGCAGATGAGCGAGGCGGAGCAGCAGCCGCGCCGGTGCTGCTTGTCGCACGCGTTCTCCGTCGCCGCGTCCGCAAACCCTAGCAAAATCGCCCTCGTGCACGCGTACGGCGGCGCCGTCGTTCCCGGTGAGCTGCGCCAGACGACTGCGGCCGGCTCCGGCTTCTCCGCCGGCGGCGTCGATCGGTTCTGCGATGGGCGCGCGCGGTCCCTGTCCCCGCCGCTCTACCCCGGGGACCAGTGCTTTGCTTATTCCGACGTGTCGCTGGCCGTCGATTGTCTCAGCTCCCGTCTCCGCAACGTACTCGACGGCGGTGACGACCCCGACCTCATCAAACCTTCAGGTGCGGAGTTTCATCCGTGCTAACTCTGTATATCATGCCGACATTCGGTTGCATTAGAACTTTGGTTTAAATGACTGTTGATCGATTTAAGTGATAAGTGTTGCACGGTGCGTCTTCAACTTTAGAAGGTTGCTTCTGTATATGATCCTCGGTGAAGGTCGGATTTTGTGACAATAATTTCTTTAGTGGCGGTGATTTGTGAGATGGATGGCCTTGTTAATGAAAGCAGCTGAAATGATATTTCAAATTTTTTCTAGGTAAAAGTTATCGTAGTGGTGACGAAGCAGCGTATACATTCAGACCAGGTACAGCTCAATTGATGGAGTCAGGGGATGTCTATGTACCGAAAGTAATTGGAATCTATACACCTCCTTCAGTGGAGTACATTGTCTCTGTTCTCTCTGTTTTGAGGTGTGGGGAAGCTTTCTTAGCTATTGACCCGATGTGGCCTAAGGAAAGGATGTTGTCGATTGTCTCTCGTTCTAATGTTGAGCTCATTATTGCATGCAAGTCATCATTTGGTAAAAGCCACGGTCGGCAAACAGATTGGATAGTGGAATCTGGGAGTTGCCCTGTAGTGCTGTTCTCCATGGAAGAAAGTACCACAGAACTTAGTAGGCATGGAAATATCGTTTGGCCTTGTGTACGGGAGAAAAGAAGGTTGTTTTGTTATTTGATGTACACCTCGGGATCAACTGGAAAGCCTAAAGGAGTTTGTGGCACTGAAGAAGGTGTGCAGTTTGCTTTTTCCGTTTGCTTGCATTTTCATATCGTGAATTGTAGTATTTCATTTATTTGCCCCCTAAGTAAAATCATATTATTCGGCATTATCTTTGGTGCTAGTGAGAGTCAATTTAAAGAAGCCTTATGCTTTCATCTGTGGCTTTTGGCTTCTGTTGTATAATCTATGTTGTGTTTTTTCCTTTCATCTTCATACTATCGAAACGCTAGTCACTATAAGCATGTCCTAGGGACACTGTAATAGGTGACAACAACTCTGGTGCGGTAAATGATGAGACGGCTCCCCTTTTCTGTAATACTGGCAGGCTTTGATAATATTCAGTAGTACCCAAGCACAAGAGACTGCTCTCTCAGGAGAAAAATGTTTTTGTTAGCTTTGGTATTGCAGTTTGGGTAAATGAGGTAGTTATGAAAAAAATTGTTCGTGAACGTTTTCATTATCCTTGGACCACTTGATAGCATCTACTTTTTTAGAACCGTCAGATGGATCTCTTAGCATAACTCATTTTGATTGCCAGCCTTCCAACAGTTCTTTGACACATAAAGCCCCAGATAGTTCAGTCGGATCCATTACAACCTAATCTGAAGAAAGAAGTTTACCCTTCCCATTTGTACTTTCCTCACAAGCTGAAATCATAAGAATTTGGTGCGTCAAAGTCATCTGCTTGCTATTGTCCCAGAGATCTGCAAACTTTTAGGCTTCATAGACGTATTTTTCAATGATGGCTCTATGCAGCCATTTGAGGGAGGTGCCTCTTGAGAAACCTGATGCCCATCCAAACTACCTTTCCTGATTTTGGTGGTTTCCCAATTTGGTTAACTAGTATCTAATGATCAGAAGGTCTGCCTTGATTGGTCCAACTATCAGCTTGCCACCTTGATAAGTGGACCCTTCCTCTTCCTCCCCTCTAAATTTTTTTCTCACGAGTGCTCCCCACGAAAATGCGAAGGTAATCACTACATGACCCACTGGAAGTGTTGAAATTGCAAAGATCGACATTTGATTGCCAACGTTGAAATTGGGTTTGCATTTTTTCTGCTGGAGAATATAGCTACAGTTATGAAGTTTGAATACTAGGCTAGCACACCAGCAATACTACCTGAATAAAGAGCGGTTTTTTGACCTCGTCTTAATCATACGTATGTAAAGTTGATTTCTTTCCCTTCCTCAGTATGTCTTGGTTCTTTGCTTGGGTTGGTTATCTAATTACCTACTCTACTGCTATTACCCTTTTATTCTGGATGAGATTTTTCACCCATAAAGCACTATAGCCATTTCAAAAGCTTTGGTGAAATGGTGGGGCCAAATATGTATAGGACCATCGTTCTTTTCTGTACATAAGTGACCATTCCACAACAATACTGTGTCCGCTTCTCAAAATGTCTGCTCATTTTCTGGATTGAAAACCAAAATAAACTTTCCATGCAAGACTGCTGTCTTTGATGGAACTTTAACTTTCTAGAGTTGTTTCCAACTAGAGAAATTGAAAGAAGTGCATCAGAGAGTAGTATACTATGATTCTATCTTGGAATTACTTTCTTCTTGTGAGATTTGATTGTAGTTTATATCCACCATTGACTGAGCTGGACTAAGCTCCGATGTGAATGGGAACAAAGTCTTCATCCTGGTTAGGGTGGCTATAAGAATTGTATTTCTGTGATTCTTCCACTATAATGCCTTTTTAGCTCCTGATGTATGAGGTCCTCTATAGTCTTGCCATCATATTTGAGCCTCCTATAACTTTTGATCTACCTCGACCATGCACAAGAACATCAGTGCACTCTCAAGTTCTGTCAATGTATCCTTGAGGGTGACATATCTTTCAATATCTTTACCTTTTTGCAACACGGACTCAACATCCCTAAAGGATTCACTTTTGCAATAAGTTTTGCTACATTACTCAAGTTTCATATTTAGTCCGCGTATCGTATCATTGTTGGCGGTATACCATCTACCAGCCACATTCAACTAAACAAAATTTGAACTCATTGAATATGCTGTTTCAAAGAAGTGATTGTTGAAGGCTTTGAACTAATGTATAATATGTTATACGTGTGTAGTTGTCTTCTTCCCTACTGGCTTAAGTTTTTAGAATAAGTGGCAGTGATCCCACATAAATTCTTCTTAATTTCAGAGTAGTAAAATTGGAGTTTAAACCTTTCTAGGACTTTTATTTGTCTCGTCAATCATATATTTCGTGAATCAAAAGGCTTAGGCCAAACTCAACCTACGCACAGGGGGGAGTATTACAACATTTAAATATTGGATTATGCATTCATTTAATAGCTTAAGCTTTTGGGTTTAACTTTTTAACCACCGATGATTTTGACACATGGTGATAGGAATAGGGAAGACACCATACTGGTAGAGCAGCACATGGGAGAAAGAGACTTTTCCTTTAATGATATTATTTTTATTCTTCTTTATTGGCTGGCTCGTATATCCTTCAATCATTAAAATTTTCTATAGTGGAGGAAGGCCAAAGCATCACAATTCGAGCAGCAGTGAGCCACCTACCTTTTATGCCCCAGACCACCAGACTTTCACCATAAACCTGAGGCTAGAGAAAGCTCTGATAGAATGAAAAGAAAGTCTAAAGGTACTATGTATGCAATGTGCACAGTACCTATGAACAGTGATTGTATATTTAGGTTGCAAGATGATGAAAGATTATTGAAAACTTTGATGAAGCATCAAGAGAAAAGTTTGATTAAAGGTCCTTGACTTAACATCATGCCTATTGTTTCTTAAATACCACACAACACAATCGGAAAGCAAACAACTGCTTAAAACTCGGTGATTTAAATACTTTCAGTCCTTCAAACTTCTCAATAGGGACAGAACATCTCATGGCTATGGACTTTGCTAAAATCTTACTCCATGATGAAACTGAAAAACCTGGAATCTACAAGGAATAGATGACCTTCACATTAACCTTAGAGAAGTAATTGTCCACTTCACGGTTGAATTGTGTGTGCAAGGCTCCTTTTCTCTTACCTTTTATTTGTTGTTTGTGTATGTAGGTGATGTTTTTGCAAGTAATATTGTGGCACTTGTAAAGGAATTATCATGCTGACCTCTTTTTCATTTTTGAAGTTGTTCTGCTATCGGATAACTCTGTAAAGAGTAATCATACCTTTCTTCTCTCTTGCAGGTCTCTTAAATCGCTTTTCTTGGATGCAAAGACTCTATCCTTTGCATGGAAAAGAACTTCTGCTGTTCAAGACATCAATAAGCTTTGTTGACCACCTCCAGGAATTTTTAGCTTCTATTCTTTGTGCTTGTACATTGGTTATTCCTCCGCTCAATAAGCTAAAGCACAATGCTTTAGTTGTTGCTGATTTTCTTGAGGTATGAGGTACTTATTTTAGTATCTTGTTTCTATTTCTTAGGGTGCTTTGCCTTGGGATTTTTCTTCTATCTTTTCCTCATTACCAAATATGTCAGTCACAACCTCTCGCTGTAAAATATATCTTTCTGGTTTTTTTTGTTCTACGTGGATATAAGTTGCATGAATTGATTACTAAACCAAGTGTGGCATTTCTGACCTAATTTATTCAGTTTGTACTTGACATTCTACTTCTTTTTTCTTTTGTTTTATTGACATATTACTTACTAGCATCTCAAATAGTTTGTAAGTTTCCATTGTGTCAGAAAATACTTTCAGTTGGGAAATGCTTTTAGGCTAATTCAGAAAGAAATCAGATTTTCTCCCCTATCTACTGCAGTGACAAAGAATTGATTGTTCTACACATGCACACATGCGCGCACACACACACATGCATACTTACATACATACATACATGCTTACATGCATATATGTAATTCCTTTTCAACTTCTTCCAAGTGTGGGATACCAATGGCAGGATGGATCCAGAAATACAACACTAGGGGGCCAAAATGTAAAAGGAAAAGTCCAATGTGCTGAAAATAATATAAGTTGCATCAATCTAGTTGAACTTCACTGAATCTCACTAGGATTTTACAAATTAAATAATGTGAAACTTACGGGTAATAGCTTGATCGTGAATGGAATGTTCATTTTTGATAAACTAAGACGTATTACTGACTAAGAGAGGTTACAGGAAATGTATTACTGACTTAGGATAACTTCCTTTGCAAGTATTCTTATATTTAGTGACTAATATTTAGTTCTCTTGTAGGTTTTTCATTTTTGTACAACTTTGATAAAACTGATGGATATTTTTTCGATAATATTAACCTTTCCTTCTGAAGGGAGTATAGAATTTATTTCACTATATCAGGACAATATATGGCAGTGAGCATGCCCAAGTTTCCCATTTTATTATGTATTCTTAATATCTTACAATAAGTATGATGTATTGTCAGAAGGGTCCATATATGTATTCTTTCACTTGTTAGTAAGATTTAATCTCCATTCTGCAGGCTTATCACATCAGCAGGCTAATTGCTGTTCCATCATTGATGAAGGCAATCATTCCTGCCATGCTAAGTCGAGTCCCCCGATCATTGGAGTTATTAGTGCTCAGTGGTGAAGAATTTTCTGTATCATTGTGGAAGGAACTTACTAGATTATTACCCAAGACCACTATATTGAATTTGTATGGAAGTACTGAGGTCTGGAATCAACATTCACACTTTTTCTTTTTGCTAAAAATCAATTTAGCAGCTTTAAACTACTTGTGGGTAAAGTTCTTATGATGTTCCCATATGGTATCTGGAAATAAAATTTTTTATTGGTTTGTAAAGTACGTTTAGAAGATGAGATTGGTTTTGCAAAAGAATGACAGTGTATACATCCTATGAGTCTCGCCTCATGTTTTTCATATCATGGTACTTTTACAATTTGTGTGTCTTTACATCTCTACTTTCTTGACAGAATGATTCAATAAATACCTTTTCTCTTTTCCTTTTTCCCAGTGGAAGCCTAAAAATATCAATGCTACTTTTGCCCCGCCTTTTGTTATGCAGTTTCCATTTTTTTTTCTCCCATCAGAAGCAGCATTATTTTGTGATATGACACTAGAGAAGCAATATAGCTCTTTTCATACTGTTCACTGTGAAAGGATCTTGACGCTCTGCATGTGCAGTTTTAAACCATAGTTAAATAAAAAAAAAAGTTTCCAAAAGAAGTTTGTCTTCAATACCACTTTGCTTCATAAATTTTATTTTGTCTCACTTTGCCGGGCTAATTCCAAAAAAAAGCACCAACTTTACCTTGAGTGTCAATTCTGGCCCGAACTTTTTTTGTCTCAATAAAAAGCACCAACTTTTACTCGAATTCCAAATCTGGCCCTCATGATGTAAAATTTTCAAATTGTTTGGGCCAGATTTGGGACTTAAGTGAAAGTTGGTGATTTTTTATGAGACAAAAAAAAGTTCAAGCCATAATTGTCACTCAAGGTAAAGTTGGTGTTTTTTTTGGAATTAGGCCCATTTTGCCAGCTAAACTTTTACAGTCTCCATCAGTGTGCGGGACTTTTCTTGACTTTTCTGAAAATCAATTACTTAATTATTTTAGTAAATGTATTTGACTTTTCTTGAAGGTGGCTGGTGATTGTACATATTTTGATTGCAAAAGGTTGCCGATGATGTTGGAAGCAGAGAAATTATCCAATGTTCCAATTGGTCTTCCTATATCTAATTGTGAAGTTGTGCTTGTTGGTGAAGATGGTGAATTAAATCATGGAGAGGTATATGTTGGTGGTGTCTGCATTTCAAGTGGATACATGTCAGAATTATCTGCAGACCATTTAGATTATGTGGAATTGCCCCACAACTCATCCCATTACCGTTCTGATGAAGAACATCAAAGACAATTATTCATCAGGACTGGTGATTTTGCAAAGCAGCTAGCAAGCGGTGACTTTGTTTTTCTTGGGCGGAAAGATCATATTGTGAAGATTAATGGTCAACGAATAGCTCTGGGGGAAATTGAAAGTATGCTTAGAGGACATGAGGCTGTTCTTGATGCTGCTGTGGTTTGTCACAAAGGTCCAGAGGAACTTGTGCAGCTTGAAGCATTTCTATTGTTGAATGAAAAGAAGAAACCCAGTGAAGTATCCGGATCCATTAGACATTGGATGGTTGAGAAGCTGCCCTATGCGATGGTTCCACACCATTTCGTCTTTCTAGAATCATTTCCTAGGACTTCGAGTGGAAAAGTGGATTATGAGCTTCTGTCTGCTTCAGTCATGATGCATTCCAAAGATAATATTGACACTGACAGTAGCAACGTCTTGGAAGTTATAAAAAAGGTTTTCTCTTTGACCTCTCGCACAGAAAATTTCTTTGACTATATGACTGCTCAATGCAGAAACGTAACCTGCAACATATTTTTGTCAGGCCTTTTGTGATGCTTTGATGATTGAAGAGGTCTCTGATGATGACGATTTCTTTTCCTTAGGCGGTAATTCTATTGCTGCAGCTCATGCTTCTCATAATCTTGGGATTAGCATGAAGTCACTCTACGATTTCCCTACTCCATCTAAGTTACAGATTATCCTTCTAGAAAAGCAAGGATTAAGAAGTGTAGATCTCAATGTAAGCGATTCTTTGGGAATGAATTCTGAAGCTAATGAGAGGAAAAGCTCCCACGTAGATAAGTTAAGTGAATTCCAGCTTGTTGGCCTTGGACAGGAGAGGAGATTGACGAGGACTATCTCACCGGACTCCAAGAATGACAAGCTTACATCAAAGCGCTTGAAGTTCAGCTCTGAAGTTGATCTTACTCCTGAGGGTCCATGGAAATCTATGTCATTGTTAGAGCCATGTTCCTTAAGCCGGTGCAATAGGGTTATGTATGAAGATGAAAACAGTGTGAAAGATGTAGATCAACAGAGTTTGCAATTAGATTTCTCAAGAGACTTAAAAGGTTTGATGCATGAAGTATGGAAAGCTCCCATGGAGTCCTGTGTTGATGCATCGCCACTGCTTGTGGTCCGTGACCAAGAGATTTGTGTGTTTATTGGCTCTCATTCACAAAGATTTGTCCGTATTGATGCGAAAAGGTATGCACATATTTTATTTTTCAGCTACTTCTGAAATATCCAAATGCTTTAAATGAAGTTACTTCGCACTTCTTTCCAATCTTAATAATATGTCAATATAATGTCAAAACTGTTATTTTTAACTGAAAAAGCCATGTCAATTAGTGCATGTTAGAAATAATCATCCGATATTGTGATGACGTGATCTATCTCAGCTACTCTTTTTTGTGTTCCAATTGTGCTAACATTAAAGAAATGATATTCGGTTATAATTTTGTATTTGTTTCCTTTTCATATTTGATATTACCCATGATGAATGGGATGAATAGCTCGCTGATCTTGGGTCCATTTTTAATGGGAAGTGATAACCCCAAGCCGAATCAAAAACTGATTTAGGCTGGCCAGTTAGAAGATTAGGCAAGAAGAAGATAAATGATTAGATGGCCTTTAGTCCTCTTCAAACATGGATTCATCATAATCATGTGTGATTTAATTCTTATGATCCATTTTTAATAGACTGATAATTTTCTGAGTGTTGATACTAACATGAATCATATAGTGGTCATGTTCTGTGGGAGATTAAACTAGATGGAAGAATTGAATGTTCGGCTGCTGTTACAAGTGACTTTTCTCAGGTCTGTCCTTAGTTTTGCATGCATAATCTGCCTTCGTGTCTGTGAAGACCTGATTTATAGACACAACGATTGATTTGATTCTATTTGGTCTTTTCAGGTTGTAGTTGGATGTTATGAAGGGAAAATTTATTTCGTTGATTTCTCAAATGGTAAAATCTGCTGGACTTTTCAAACTGGTGGTGAGGTATGACAGTTTTATACTTGTATCATTTTTCATTGATTTACTAATTGAGGGATGGCAGTCGCCATCGAAAATTCACAAGAGTACAAATTTTGGTGAAGCACAAGTTACACCGTGAATCATTTTTAGGATTAGCAGATCTCATGTAATTGGTAGTACCTATGACTGCTTTAAGTGGCTTCAAAGTAGTTGCCTTGCATATGCAATCTGTCGAAGAGATACAATCCGTTTCTCCTCCACTGATTAAATAAGAAAGCTTCACTAGAAGGCACTAAGGGGATAACAAAAAGCTCTCAGAGAAGATACAAGCTATCGAATCTACAATGTCAAGTATGATATCTTAAGAGAATTAATTTCTCTCGATATACGAAAGAGAGAGCTAAACTTGATGCGTCTGTCAAACAGACTGATGAGTCTTTTTAAATCTTTCAAAAGCTATCATTTTTCTTTTCATGGGAGCCAAAAGTTGGAGAGAGAATCCTGGTATATAACTTTCTTCTTCAGCTTCCAAGTTCCAATTCTTGCCATGTGCAGAATATTCCACAACATTACATTTTCTGTAAATCCAATTGATCCCCAACAAAGAAAAGAAGTGAAACAGCGACTATTGGACCAGCCACATCATGGGAACAGATGATTTACTGTTTGTCCTTCTCTTTAGAAAGAAATCATCAGTAGTATACTGCGAAAGAGCTTAATATGTCCCCACCTCTATCTAATCTATACTGATTCCAGAACATATGTGTACCATCTTTGATCCATCACCATAAACCCAGTCCGTGAGCATTCTTAGATTCTTGTATTCTTCTAACTAGACTACATTACCTCCATTGGTGATCTTTATCCTTGATGAAGTGCCATAATTACTTGCTTTAGGGAGAGATTCGCCCTTGTGACATAATCACTTGCTTCAGAGAGAGAGTACCTCATCTTTCTTGCTAAAACATAAATGTAATTTGGCTGCTTATGCATTTACTAGATTAAATTCACTGCATGACATCCATCAATTCTCTTCCTTATTCCACTATTCCAGCATGGCTGCCAACGTACGTCCATGGTAAATGTCTTCATTGTCCAAAATTTAGACATCGAATGACTTTCTAATGGACCTAAATAAGGTGCTGTCAATGATTGAATTTGAGGGGAAAATGATGCTGACCAGGACGGGTAACATGCCTAGAAAGTTCCTACTAAAATGGTTGCATCAGCTATTACAAGCACATCAATTTCTTGAGGAAGAGACGGTTACAGATTTACACTGAAGTAGTCCAAGTTTCTACGGCCGAGCTTGATTTTTTTCCAAATGGGAGAATGATTCTGAGGCGTCATTCATCTTGACTGTAGCCCTCTTTTTTGTTCTTTTGCTGCATTGTACTTTTTCGATTTTGTCAAAATGGTATCAAGGTCCCTTGTTAGGGTTCCCCTACATCAATTTTAGTACGGAGCAAAAGAACAGAGAAAAGACAACAACAAAAAAATAATGAGGGCAAGCTACGCTTAGTTTGATACTGACAATGGGATGCACTGGGTTTGACATTGTCATGATGAAGGATGAGAACATGCCACAAAGCTTTTGTGAGCAAAATTGCATCACAGGCATGCGTATAGTGCTTGAAAAACTCTTGTGCAACTGACATATGTGTCTTGTCAAAACAGAGTATACATATGGTTTTATGTTTTGGCTGTGGTCCCATGTTGGATACCCTTGTCTTGTAATTCAAGTATTGTGCAATGTCTGTCTGTGATAATGATAAATTAGTAATGATTTAGGAGGCATCTTATTATGTTTGTTGTACTGATCTTTTACTAAAGGTAAACAAGACACCTAGCCTTACTCCATTAACTGGGCAATTGCACACAATTTCCATCAAGCATTTGCTTGATTTTTTTTTTGAAATTTCCTTTCTTTAGAACGTTCGCTCTATATGCTTATTATATTCTTTATTTTGAATTATGTTTGTTTAGCAGATCCCTTTTCCTTGCTTCATAGGTAAAATCACAGCCAGTTGCAGATGGGCAACGGCAATTGATATGGTAATTCCAGTCCTTTCTGTTAATGAATTTTTTCTTTTACTTGTATTTTGGCATGTTTATTCCTTGGACATAGAAAGGGTGACTAATACGAGATATCTGCCCACGAATTATTGCCAGGCTGTGACACTGTACCACAATTTTCTTTTTTCTGTAAGCAAAGACAATTTATTACAAGAAACATTGTTCTAGTACAAAATTTTAAACAGGATACAAGAAACAGAAAACTCAAAACTCAAATAACAGAGTTATAGCAAAGAAGAGTCACAACATGAAACCAAAGAAGACTAAAAACCATAAAGATAAAAGAAGCTGTGGACTCTTCTTATAGTCCCTCCAAAATGCACCATATGAGACAAAATGGAAGATTTCCTTGATTTGCATGGCCCAAAGCAATGATTCAAGGTTTGAGATTATTCTAGAACAGTTGTTAGCATCACCCGATAAAGAAATCGATGATAGGTATGTTCTCTACTTGAGTATATTTATGTATTTTAGGCGGTAGTTATTAGGTGGTTATAAATAAGGAAATTTGGGTTTTGTTACTGTCTCTCAGGCTCTCAGGCTCTATAAATAGAGCCATCTTATGTACTCTATCAGTCAGTCATTTAGTAAAGATGTAGTCTTTATTAATTCTCTTTATTCCTCCCTCTTGAAAATTATAAAATATTTACATGGTATTAGAGCCACCAAGAAAATGGGATTTGAGGCAACAAAAGATAAAAATAAAATCTTGAACTCCAAAAATTCTTACTTTGTCTTTCTTCTAGCCGGCAGTCTTTTAAAAAAAACCTCATCTCTGCCATCATCTTTTCTACCTCGTCAACCTCAAGAGCAGCCACACTTCAAGAGCAACATCATCATTTCGTGTTTGTTGCGGTCTCTTTGGTTGTCTCTGAGAGCAGAGCTCTCTCATGAGCCAGAGGTTTCTCTGTCTCCATCGTAGTCAAGGGGAGTTGTGGTTGTTCACTGCCGCCTCATCAATCTTTTGCCAAGATCCTTATCGCTGGTGAAGACTAGAGCCTCTCTGTTCTCTTGTCCTTCCGTCATGTATTCATTCTCGGTCATGGTTATTGGTTCTACCTCTCCGTCACAATCAAGCTACTGTTCTCATCCGTTTGCTGTTTTTGGTCCTAGGTTTGTTATTTTGTCGTCTTCTCCAATTTCCAGAAAAGAAAAAAGGCTTTCTAGGGTGTGTTAATGCTCCAATCTGCAGCGCCTTATCTTCAAAAAGTTCCCCAATTTTGGTCAACTCTCAACAAGCCTAATGTGGATGATATTCGTTGTGAGACTCTTCATCAATTGCAAGTGTCATTGCCTAGTGAAGCCTCCATCAAGTTTCCAGGCAGCTGTGAGCTCAAGAGTCAAGCATACATTTGTCGAGCAGCCAGAGTCGAGAGTTGTGGGTTGATGAAGTTCAGTTTGCCTCAATTCGTGAGTTGGGTCTCTCGATGTTATCTTTGTTGTTCAAGGAAGAGAAAGGTGTCAACTTTTCGATCTCGATTTGTCTCCTCAGCTCTTTTGTCAAATCTGGTGTTGATATGGTTTACATTCAGTTTGTTGTGTAAGGTCCGGCATGCACCATTGTCATCGTCTCAAATCCATTTGATTTATTTACATCCCTTATCTAGTGTAAGGTCTGGCTTGCACAGCGCTTTAGTCACAGACTATGGAAGAAAGTTCTGCTTGTCATATGCAACCTGGATGCTCCAGCTTGAGGAGTGTCAGTATATATCTATGGATATTAGCTAGTTGTTAGTATAGGTGGTCATAAAGAAGGACATTAGGGTTTTGTTAGTGTCTCTCATTCTCTATAAGCAAAGCCATCTTATGTACTTTTTCATTAAGTCATTTAGTAAAGATGTAGTTTTATTGTTTCCCTCTCCCTCTCTCTTGAAGATCCTAGAATAATTACATTCTTCATGTGCATTGCATAAGTAGCACCAGTTGATTAAAAGTTCTTCTGTCAGAGATTCTCAACAATGAGAACTCTATTCCAAGTAGCTGCCCAGCAGAAAAGGATGTCGTCAGGGGCGCGTAAGGAAGCCAAATGGCATGAATTGTCTGAAGGAATCAATGGAGAGACTTCCGATGGCTAAATAATAAGATTTAACAGAAAGGCTCTGCATTTAACAAAATTCTAGATGAGTCTGTCCTTCTCCAATACCTTTTACCTTGGGCTATAAAGAAAGATATGAATGTGCGGACCACATCAAGCTCCCTAAAATATAAATTGAGGTGGGAGTTCAGAGTACAGTGCTGGTGTTGACGTACAAGACGTTAGAAACCAGGGCATCCTGGTCAGTAGAGAGAGAAAAAAGAGTGGAATAACAATGTTAAAGATGAATGTCTGTGCACCAGTTTTTTTGTCAGAGAGGAACACTACACCCATTATTGAATTCAAATCTAATCCAACAACTAAAAGAATTCTATCCTTCTCTAATATATTTCGAGACTCCATCAACATGGGGGCAAGATAAATCCTTGGAGCACCCACGCCTATGATGGCACCACAAATAAGCTGAAGCAGTTCAGATGAGAATGGGGCTAGACGATGCCAGAAGTTTCTGAATTTGTGCCTCTTGCTGAGGATATGGTGCTCGATAAGGAGGATAGTGTGTACGGTATTGTGGGGGCTATCGCAAGAAAGCTCACTTTTCATTGATAAAGAGAAATTCACTATAGGGTGCTAAACGGGTGCAAACCCACGTACAAAAGGAGGTCAAGATTCAAAAGAGCTTAATTACGAAAGAAAGCATATATTGTCAATCAATGCATTTGCATCTGCAAGTAATTCCATTATGCTAAAATCATTAGTTTTGAACCAGTCATGAAAAATTACAGGGCTTGAAGACGCTTCTCCTTAAAAGGCTTGCTTTCTTTGCTTTTTCCAAACCAGCCAGAAAACAGAAAGGATACTCACAAGATAGCGATCTCCAACCCAATCTTTCTTGCACTCAACACCCAACCGTTTGACATGGTTCTATCAAATAAAATATTAAGACTTTCGATTTCCCTTTCTAGGCCATGTTGTTTTAGTGGCACTTATTCTCCCTTTTAATTGCATCTTCACTGCATTATATGCTCTTTTAATGCTATGTTTGTTCCCCTATCCTAAGTAGCCTGTATTTTCATTTGTCCTATTGTCTTTTATCAATTTTGATGCTCTATATGTTGCTTCAAACAATTGACACAAAAAGGATTTATGCAGGTGTGGATCTCACGACCATAACCTCTATGCTCTTGACTACAAGAATCATCAATGTCTTTTTAATATTAGCTGTGGTGGGAGTATCTTTGGTTCACCTGCGATTGACGAGGTGAATCTGGCATTTCCTGTTGTTAGGGCGTGATTTGTTTGTGAAACATCTACAATTTTCTGAGTATGAGGAATCGGATGGAATGGACATCCAGAGGGGATACTGTAGAATGTCAGATAGTCCTAAAAAAAATGAGAACAAAATGTCAAAGGATATGCTGGAAAATTGAATATGTGTGTGTTTGTGTCTGCATTGAGGCAAATTTGAGAGGAATTTGCTTTCCTTCTTTGCCAATTCCTGATATCGAGAGATTGGGAATGCCCCATTCAATTCTACGATACGTCTGAACAAGAGAAAAAGCTTGGAGGAGATAATCATGATTCCATTCCATTCCTTGTACCAAATATGGCCTAAGGACTTGTGTGATTTATTTTCAATTGGTTCAATTGATTTTAACTGTCATATTTGACATGTTTGATGCTTGAGATTTTTCTTGATTTTTCAAATGTAAAGTGTTTACATATCTTTGAATAGGTCATTTCCCAGTATAATAAGTTTTCCCTTGATTACCATGTAGTTGCTTGAAAACCATTCTTGAGAAAATTAAAATTCAATTGATTCAATGCAGGTGCGTACCACTCTTTATGTAGGATCTACTAGTGGTCGTGTAACAGCTCTTTGTATCAAGGTACATATGAACTCTTTCTCCCTTTTGTTTCCTTGGAGTTTGAATACCTAGATGGCAGATGCTGAATTGTCCACTTTTTACCTCCAAATGCCATTAAAGACCACCTCCAATCATAAATATCCCAAGCTGCTTATGACAGAACAGATATAGTTAAAACTTTGATTAAAAAAAATTGTACTAGATGATTGCTGGCTAGAATGATTATTGTGGAATGGTTGGCTATTTTTATACAGTGAAGGGACCAATCTTGGGATCTTTGATATCAAGATTTACACCACCTCCGGTATGCAGAGTCCTAAGTGAAACTTGAGTTGTTTTTGCATTCATCTGTGTAGGGAAGAATGTTAAATTTCTAGAATATGAAATATGACTGTCTTTTGTGGGAGGACCGCCTTATAAGTCTTCTTCATTCAAGTTAAGAAGAACATTGGTTAGAGTTCTGAGGATCTTTTTTTATCCACCTAATAAAGTTGTTCAACATCTGCAGCTAGTTAATGAGAAATCCGTCAATCAAATTTGAATGGAACATTTCATTAATTATCCAATTATGGATCATGCCGTCTTTTTCTTTTTAAGTTTCACACAATTTAGGTATTTCTCTTAATCCAAATAATTGAATTGGGTTTCTTTTTTAGAATTCTTTTATTATTCCTTTTAAAAATAGAATGGTTTTCATGACCTATTTCTTTTTCTTTCTTTTGAAAGGTTTATGAAGAATTTATTCTTTCTTTTAAAACCTGTATAACTTAAAAAGAATTCTTTTGCAATTTTATAATTTTTTTTCTGAGTTTCTTAAAAATGGTTCAATAGAGTCCTAAATGCTTCAAAAAGTGCAATCAGGTACTAATCCTTCTGAAATTAATGCAGTGAATTCTTATACCTTTTGAAATTAGTGCAATTAACAAATATCGCCGTTGTGGCATCTAGTCATGGGAAAACCATCTGCTTCACCAAATTAAGCATGGTTTCTACCATAATTGTGTAAAAGAAAAGCAGGGGATTTTTGTTGTCTAGTGAGAGTATGACTTGATTATGAGTGTTGATTGTAAATAAAACTCAATGTTAAATTTAGATTGATCCAGAAGTAAAACTAGAATCAGTGCTTAAATCTGAAATTTAACCACAAATGATAGATGAATGTTTAATCATTCTTAGATACCGCAGCTATTACAGTAATGAGACCTACTAGTTTAATTTCAGCAAAACAATCCAAATCAAATAATTTGAAGTAATAATTCGAGTCACCAAAATCCTAGATGTTAAACTTGAGATTCTAATTCACTTCAATGAAATTAGAATGAAAAAACTAAAATTGATAGTCAAGGACAACCGATGCACGATTTTAGGCACCTATAGTTGGTCAGTTTGTGATACAATTATGAGATTTCATGACCAAATTCAGAGTGTTACTCAAAACTCGGTTTTTCCTTGATTTCACGTAATATCTAAGTCTAATAGTCCAAAATCAAGGCATATAACCAATAGGCAACAAAAACCCTAGGGCTTGGATAGTATTAAAATTATGCTAAATTCGCTGAAAATTCCAATTTTCTGATGATTTGACATCACCAACGGCCATGTTAGGATTTGATTGCATGAATTTCAAAAGGTTTAGATTTGGTTGCGTATTTTGAAACATTTAGAAATCAATTGCACTCCATACAGAATGTTTAGGACTAATAGAATAATTTTCCCATGTTGGAATTAGTAGCTACATGAACAGAATGAGTTGAGGTAGCCATCATCTTTCAATAGCTCTTCCTTTGTAAGAGAAGGTAAGCTAGTAGCCAGTGTTGATGTTATTTATGCAATGATCCTGTGGTGGCTTGGAATTTTTCTTTACCCTGTTATAGTGGCCAGTTTGCAGTAGATATGCCTGTTGTTGTGGGTGCAGTGATTCCAATTTGTGCTATTTGATATTGTGTTCTCTAAACTATAAACTTGCCTAATCATACGATTGTTGGCCCTAGCATGTTTAAGAGATTCTGATCCAGAAGTTAACATGAAATGTGCAGGCTGTACCATTTTATGTTCTCTGGCTATACGAATTTGAAGTGCCAGTATTCGGATCTCTCTCCGTGTGTTCTCCTTCTGGTCTAGGTAGTCTGCGAAATGTCTTTACTTGATTGTTTGTCTACATTTTCTTAATTTATGTGGTATTTTTCTAAACTATCATGTTCTGCAACAGTTATTTGCTGCTTGGTTAATGGATCTGTTGTGGCTTTAGATACCACTGGATCCATTATTTGGAAGGTACTACTTATTTTTCTTACTTACTGTTTTTGGATTTTTCTTTTTTTAAGTTTTTCACTTGATAGAAGTCAGCAGTCCAAATGATTGTAGCCCATGCGAATTTCTGGAAAGTTCACTTTTGATGATCATTACGTTTTTGAGTTATTGGTATTGTGATTCTAATGAAATCTATCAAGCGAGAGAATGATCAGTGCGATGTGTCAGAGATCTATAATTTGAGTTATTGCTGTTGTGATTCTAATGTACTAGAATCTATCAAGCGAGAGAATGATCAGTGCAATGTGTCAGAGACTATACATCTGCATTTTATGGTATCATAAGTTTTGCATATCTGATTAATGCACCATGGCTGCAGATCTGTGCGCTCGATACTATGGTTCTTACCTTTTTTTGTGATCCATTATAAAACATTCGCTATCCCTGAAATGTTGACTTCTATGGAAGCAGACAAATGTCGCATCAGTGAAAACAAATTTGTCAACAGATTTTCTTCTCATAGTTAGAGCATTGATAGTTCAGCTGATAACTTCGGGTGACAGTTTGCTCGAGAGTAGGATAGGCTTAATGTGCTTCAATTGGGTAGTCCCGCGACAAGTCCATGTTGTTGTTCCATGTAGTTGCATCTGTAGATGAAGTCCCAGAGATGTATAAACATGCATTTATATGCACGAGCAGTAAGCAGACATAAATATGGGTTGGCATACGAACGCTCACGGATATAGATGGTCTTATCATTTCTTTTCAAGTAATTGGCAATCTATGTTTGTGTTGTTTCCCCTGCATCATGGACCTACCCTGATGTGCAATAGAAATGCCTGCTCCGCAGGGTCCAGAGTCACTCTAGTCCTTGCAAATTAATAAACAGTGCGTCATAGCTTCTCCTCCCCATATATTGTCTCAGCAAGAGAGCTTACTTTCCCGTGTTTTACCTCTGTTATGTTGGTCATGTTGTCAGTCCCTTGTCCAGGCCAAATGTAGCTGCAGTGATAGTTTCAAATTAAGGCGTAAATTGAAAGGCTCATTTTTTTACATTTGGAATCTATTGTGAGTTGGTAAACAGTTGTAGGATAGCTGGAAAATGAAGCAAAATTCAATGAAAACAGGTGTTAAACTTCAAAAATCTAGAAAAAGAAGTTACATATCATGTATTTAATGACTTTCATTGTAAAAACTTAATGCTAGCTTGTGAATAAAATGTTAATTGTCAAATTGTCACTTTTTCTGGGTGAAATGGCAATATTTCTACAGTGTTCCTCTTTAGGGAAGGGTTAATAATGTAACTATGTGATGGCTTTCATCCATAATTGGGCAGTATTATAACTAAGTATTACCAATGAGAAGATGAAGTAGAATATCCTTCCATATATTAGGAAGATGGGAATGTCTCGCAAGTTTTCATGGGTTGATCTCTCTAATTTGAGTTTCTAAAACCACCGATATAATTAATCCAAGGATTGCTCAAGTAATTAGCATGTTTGTCTTCCTCGCGCAAAGCCAGGTTCAAGTTACCCCACTTAAGCATTTTCTGTGACCACACCCAGGAGCACAGGCTTATATATCCTTGGTAATAACCTGGTGTATGTATGATGGGGTGGTTGGACTCTCACACCTGGTGGAAATTAATTGGGTGTCCAAGAAGCCCCAAGGACCGCCCTTATAGTTGTGTTGGCAATGTAGTTAGAATCCAGTCTAGAATCATGTCCATTTAGATCTTAAGTCTCCTTACTTACTAAGACTAGAGAAAAACCATGAAGCTTAGCTTGTAATTCTATGGTGACGTTTTAGCAAGCTGCACTTAATTGGTGATTCGCTAGAAAGTTGTGGATCCAATCAAATTATGAATTGATTGTTGTGGAATTGCATGATCTTGCTCGTATTCTCTTCCCACCTTTGAATACTGAATTGGATCACATGGTTACAATACCGAATTCTACAATTTCTACAAAGTGCATCTCTAAATGCTTAAGGAAGGTTTGACTTGCTAGGATGTGTAATTCACAGTGACAGAAATGATAATTTTCGAATAGCTGTGGACACCACCACTTAGCAGTCATGTGAACCATATCTACAGCCATATGTGATGTAGGGAAGAAAACCCCAACAAGGTGTATAACACCAAGGATGGAATTGAAGGAGCAAATAGGAATCATTCACAAGGAAATGCACAATCTAAATGATTCTCTTCTGGCTGTCAAAGCCAGGGAAAGGAAAGAACAACTTTCTTAAAGAAACTTTATTCTATAATGGAAAAATAATCTAATATGAAAAAAACTCTTCAAGACTAATAAATAGGGATAAAAACCATTATTCATAGGACTCTCCAAACATAATTAAAGACCACAACCGACCCCGTAAAACCAAAATTAAGTCTCAGCTACAGTAACCATGAACAAAAACTCGAGAAAATAAATAAAGATTAATTTCATGCAAGTTGTCAAGCTTGTGTTTTTCATCATTTGCCAGATGATAATCTGTAATTTTATCATAGGATCTTATGATGCTATGATCCCAAACCATAGGTAGGATCTCGGTTTAGTAAGATAATTACAGCATTTATAAAATTATGAAATCGATATGGTCCTATAGATTTTACTGATCTGTTTCCTGTTAATATTTTAAATTTGTGATGTGTTTGGTATTTTAGGTTATAGAAGTCCTGACTTCTTTTCTAGAAGATGTAGGCCTTCAAAGTAGTACTGCTTTGTAGTTTTAATCTCACAAAAGCCTCCTCATCGATTTTGCAAAGATCATTTATATTTTACTTGATCATTTTCGAACTTCTGGGATCTTGCGATCCTCGATCCAATTCCAATCCTTAGACAGTCCCATTGATCCTTAGTAGGCTGCTGATTTTACCATTGTGGATGACATTTTGTTTACTAAATGGATGCAAGTTATCCTGCTTCACTTTGCAATGCCTTTCCAATTTATTAAATGCATTCTGCTTTGTAATCTTATCCTAATTGTTAACTTTGAACAGCGGAGAACTGGTGGTCCTATTTTTGCTGGAGCCAGCATTGCTTCTGTTCTCCCTACTCAGGTAAAGCACTTCCTTTAGAGAATATGTTTTGCAAAGTCCATTCTATGTACAAGATGTGTCCCGGGTAGCATGTAAGGAAAATTGTGGACAACTTTCCTGTAAGGACGCGATGAGGCAATAAAGTAACATGAGCTAAAGAATCCATGTAAAACCATACTGCAGGAAATATTTTAACAAAAAGAAGACCATCAGTTTACTCATCTACAAATAAATTACGTTTGCATGTTGTGCTGCACCAGCATTGGCAATTTTGGATGCAGTATGATAACATGATCAAATAACAACAATGGAAGAGATTACTTGGTATAAACAAGTATGGCACAATGAGGAGAAAAAGTGACCCAAAGGTTTAGACTTCGTCTCATCCATCGTCAACCTCTATTTGCTAGATGAATTACTTTACTATCTTCAAATATGGGATATCTTTGAAAAAGCATGAAATAAACCGAAAGGAGCAGGATAATCAATAAGGAAAGGAACCGCCTTCGCTCTTGATCTAAGTGAGGATTTCTCTTGTATGCAGGTGCTTATTTGCTCCAGAAGTGGAAGTATTCTTTCACTAGAACCAGTATGGTCGAACTCTTATCATATTCACTTCAACTTGATTTGTCCAAGAATTTGTATCGATCTAGTTTCATCATTTGTTTTTAAGTCTATTAACCAAGTCTCTAGTGCTAGCTGGTAAATATATGCATTAGTTGCTATGGTTTTATCACAATCTTCTGAAGACTTTTGCAGGTAGCTTTGCATATAGATGGCTTTGCCACCTAGTACCAGTCTCTTCTCTAGTTCCTACTGAACTTTCCAATTTGGAAAACTTTATTTTAGTTTCAGAATACTGGAAGAATCTTTTGCTATTATTTGCGTCAAGGAAAACATCTTCCCCCACATTTTAAAAATGTTCTTATGTCATTTAACTATACAAAACAATTCTTGTGATTATCTTTTTCTCTAATCGCTTTATCGCTGTTTCTTGGCGAAATCGTTGCTTGAAGACAAACCTCAAACCTCTGCAATCTGCATGTCACCCGTTATTAAACTTCCCAGCACCACAACTATCTTCGCACAGCCTACTTTCATCAGTTTTTCTTTAATTGGATATTCAAAACAGTGATATTCAGATGGAAATTCTCTCCGAGTCTATTCTTAAACTGTGACCTTTGATCAATTTGCTGTCATATTTTCTCATCATTATTGGGGATTCTTCAGGAAAATGGGGAGATATACTGGGAATACGATGCTGGCTATCCAATAACTGCTTCTGCTTATCTTGATGAGCATTTGCGACTTTCAGCTGACAGGTAAAGACACTACATAAGCTCGTTGGCCTAATGCTTGTAATTTATAACATCACCGCTTTTTCAGGCTGGTTTGCATTTGTACCTGCTCGGGATCTGTGGTGGTGCTTCGCATTGACGAGGATGTAGCAACGGAAAGGAACCAGCAGATCGAGGATAGGTGCATGGTTCAAGAGTTCGCAAGGTTGGAGCTGGAAGGAGATGTATTTTCTTCACCTGTGATGATTGGTGGCATTATTTTCGTTGGTTGCAGAGACGATCATTTACATTGCATAGCTGTTGGATCACAAAGTTCAGTGATTGAGTAGTGTGATAAAACATTATGGTGCTATGTCAATCTACGCCACACCCATTTGCTGCATCTCCGCTCCGAGTGGTGGTGGCAGCCTGAATCTCGTTGGAGGTGTGCTGGATCCTGCTGGGCTACTCGAGACCGGCTGGCTGTGACTAGGAGCAACTTTTGATAGCCCCGAGTCTAATTGGCCATGGTCCACGACCCAATGTGTGAAGGGTACTTGGGTCCAAAGAGCAGCGACCTAGGTTTGATAGTCGTCGACTCAGGATCCGGAGTACGGAAAAATTCGTTCTGCGCAGCAATTAATCTTAACAATACGGAGTTTAGTTCCTGGAATAAAATGAACTTTGAAGATCATCAATGGGGGTCCTCTTATTTCACTCGGTTAAAAAATTATGGCCTTCTTAAAATCAGGGTGCCAGAGTTTCCTTTGTTTTTACCAGAGAAACTCGTGGACTTTTTAGATGCTGTCATTTCAGTGATTTGATAACACATCAGATATGAATAGTAAAATAAGCAATGAGAAAACATTGAGTCGATATGGTGTTACCAATGGGTACATAATAATATAATTCTCTCATTAGAAAAAAGGAAACTTCAACGGAAACAATTGTGAATTGTGGAAAAGAGGAAATTTAAAGCCCCTCACATCATTTGGGGAAAATAATATGTTAGGATAAGTCATGTATGTCGATCAAAATTGTGAATTGTGGAAAGAGGAAATACTTACAATACAAATGAATATTAAAAGCCAATAGGCATGCGGTTCTGTTGATAAAGGGATTGCGGGGTGAGGATGTTAGTATCACATGTGTGGGGTTCGATTTTCGCGCTTTTCAAGAGGTAAAACAGAGTGATGAGAATTAGAGATAAGAAATAACATCATGTGTTGATTACTCTTGATGTCAGGATGTGCAGTCACCACCTTCGCTACGTCTTCCACTAACAATAATAGGGGAAAATGGCAGAAGTTGAAGACCTTGTGTCAAAGGAAGAAGAGAGAGAATAAAAGGCTACATTAAGATGTGATAATTGGTAACAATGACAAGAGAATTAGAAATGTTACATTAAGAAGATGAATATATTATTATCTTAATGAAGATAATTATGGTAGGCACTAATAGGGCATTCGGCTAAGGAGACAAAGAGAATGAAAATTGATATGAATAAATGAAATAATTTAGCATAGATTAAGGAAACAGTTAATTAGGAATGGTCATAATGGCAAATTTTCAAGTCCACAGGCAAAAATGATAGAGAATAAAAACAAACTTGGGTTAAAGAAAGAGATTAAAAAATGCTGACTTGGCAATAGATTAACTTGCTAAGGTTCCTTGAATGGCTAGAGTTTCTTCAAAAGTTTATGTTTTTCATTTATATAAACGAAATTGAGTTCAAGAAAAAGACTAAAACTGCGAAGTTAGCAATAGATTAGAGGTTGCTAAGATTGGTTATAATGGATAGAATTCCTTAAGAAGTTGTCCGTTTATATACTAGCAAATGTGAGCGCGCATTGCGTGAAATTAATATTTGAAAGATTAAGTTTATGACAAAATATTTAAATTATCTATTAGTGAGAGTAGATTATTGATAAAAAAAAAATACGCAATACAAAGAAGTTGTATTGATGGAAAAAAAAAATTGAAAATTGAAATCTTTTTAAGAAGGTTGTTGTAGGATAGAAAATGTCCAAATTTTATTATTAAAAATGTGAAATAAAATAAAATTATGAATTTACACACTCGTCCATGGACACAATATTTTTAAAATAAGTAACTAAAAATATTTAGGGGAAGAAAAAAACAATTGAGATATCTCTCTTCATTTTATATTGTACTATATATATAAGTAGGATAGATGGATATTGGAATATCACAAAAAAAATGTAGTATTTAATAGATAGGGGTTGGGCTAGGCCTGAATCAGCTAGATCAAACTTGTGAGCCTTGTTGATTTGGATTGGGCCCATAGTATATCTTAAATGAGAGGATAATGACACAAATAGTATAATGTAGTACCTGAACTTTTAATTTATTTAATATAGTCCCTGAACTTTAACCTAATGTTCAATGTGATCTCTGAACTTTTAATTAGTCCCTAAACTATATGAAAATGTTCAATATAGTCCTTTAAATTCAAGAAGTACATTGAACATGTATCAAAAGTCCAAGGACCACATCGAACGAATTAAAAATTCAACCAAATTGCACATTAAGCTAAAGTTCATGGACCACATTGAACAAATTAAAAGTTCAAGGACCATATTGCACATAGGGCTTAAATTCATGGATCATTTGTGTCATTTTCCCTTTAATGAGAAATGGACTAGTAAATGTTCAATCAAAGTGGTTACTCTCCGAAAGCATTAGTACATGATCCTCGAAAGATTATTGGTAATTTGCTAAAAGTGTTGGTAAATCTGACGGGAAGGGAAGAAAGACTTCGTTGAATTATGAATCTCAGTCCGTTGGTAAGTTTCTTTTAATACATTAGATTGTACGTTTTAGAAAATGTCGTGATTGGTAAAAGTTTCTACAAGCTTTCTAAAATATTTATAATTTGATTGAACATTGATAAATTTATGTTCAAGTCGGTCACTTATCAACAAGTAAGGGCGCGAATGGTAACCATTCTGCTCCAGAAATCAAATTCTTGCCAGAAATTGATTTCCGGAATTCTTGCTAGAAATTGATTTTTGGAAGAGAAATCTGTTTGATAAAACATGACTAATTCTGCTCCAGAAATTGATTTCTGGAACAGAAATCTATTTTTATTTTTTTTATTTTTTTGGGCACCTCAAAAAAAATAAATTTCACTCAAAGTGGGTGCCTAAAGGTATTCTAAGCCATTTTGTGAAGTTTTGAAATTTTTTATTTTTTGATTTTTTTGGGCACCTCAAAAAAATTCAATTTCACTCAAAGTGGGTGCCCAAAGGTATTCTATGCCATTTTGTGAAATTTTGGAATTTTTGATTTTTTGATTTTTTTGGCACCTCAAAAAAATTAAATTTCACTCAAAGTGGGTGCCCAAAGGTATTCTAAGCCATTCTGTGAAGTTTTGAAATTTTTGATTTTTTTATATTTTTTGAAAAAAATTCACCAAATTTCCTATTTTCTCGAAATCTGACTTTTTTTATTTTCTGAAAATTTTTATGAATTTTTCTGAAATTTTTCAATTTTTATGCATTTTCTGAAAAAAAAAATTTAGTAAGAAAAAAAGAGAAAATAGGGAGAATGCATTCTGGAAGAAAGAAGTTACAAAAAGTAGCTTCTCTTTTTCTTGCCCAAAATTCATTCTGGAATAAAAAATGCATTCTGGAATCAAGAATGGATTCTGGAATCAAGTATTTTTAACAAACGCATTTTTATTCAAGAATGCAAAAATTACTCTAGAATGCATTCCGGAAATTTTTTAACAAACGCATTTCTGTTCCGGAATGCATTATGGAGCAGAATTTCTACTCCAGAATGGATTCCATGCGCGCCCTAATTGACCAAGCACTTTGGCGGTCACCCAATCCAAACATAATATTTACTAATACGTAAAAAAATCAATCATTTATCTAAGGCTCCATTTCTTTCGCTAAAATGAATGATTTGAAAAATACTTTCCTAAAAAAATCACTTGTATCGCCTAAAAAAATTGAATGAATGTAAAAAATTTTCATAGTTCACAAATATTTTTAGAAATATATTGTTGTTAGTGATGAGAATATTTTCCATTGACTAAATATTTCAATCGATTATTTTCAAAAAAATATTTTTCAAATTATTTATTTTTCTGCGAAACAAATGAAGCTTAAGTCCGTTGTTTAAGTCCAACTCATGAAACTTGGTTGCTAAGGCACTTGAGGCCCCATTTCATAATTTTGTTCGTAAGCAAACTCGTCCAAAAGCTCCAAAGCTCTCATTTTGAAAGACTCTCTCGATTTTTGGGGAAAGTGTCAGGAAAGTCATAAACCTTTTGTATTTGTGCCAATTTAGTCATAAACCTTGTTTTGGTGTCAATTGAGTCATAAACCCTTTATCTTTGTATCAATTCAATCCTTCTGACTAAATTTGGCCGGATGTTGTTGACATGGGCATTGATCGGCCTACGTTGCACTGTCGACGCTGACGTGGATAATTTTTAATAATATTTTTTCGATTTTTTCTTTTTTTTCCTTCTTTTCTTTTTCTTCTTCTTCTTTCTTGTACCTTTGGCTAGTAACCGAACACCGACCACCGGCCGGCCATGGCCGGCTACCTAGCCTCGCCTGGGTGAGGCTGTCGTCGCCCGCCACAAGCGAGGCCAGGCCGACCCTCGCTTGAGCAAGGGCATGCCCGGCAAGGGCTCCCCTCACCAGATTTGGCGAGGAGCCAGCCCTCGCCTAGGCTATGGTGGCCTCGCTGAGCGTCGCCTAGGGGAAGGCGACGCTTAGCGAGGATACCGTAGCCTGGGCGAGGGCCGGTCTCACCAGATTTGGCCTGGGCAAGCCCCCGCGAGGGCTCCCCTCCCCAGATCTGGAGAGGCTGGCCCTCGCCCAAGCCATGGCAGCCTCGCGGGGCGTCGTCTTTGGCTAGGGCGAGGCCGACCATCACCAAGGCTTGCCCTCACCCAAGCGAGGATCGATCGGGCCTCGCTTGTGGCGGGAAACGGCGGCCTCGTCTGAGCAACGGTGGCCTCGCCCAAGTGAGGCGAAGCGGCTAGCTACCGGCCAAAGGTAGAAGAAAGGAGGAAAACAAACAGAAAAGTAGGAAAAAAAGAAAAAAAAATTAGATATTAAAAATCGAAAAAATATTAAAATATTATTAAAATTTGTCTAGTCAACGCCGATGGTGCCACGTAGACCGGCCAATATCCATGTCAGCAATATTTGGACAAAATTAGTCGAAAAAACTGAATTGGCACAAAGACAAAAGGTTTAGAACCAATTGGCATAAAAAAATATTAAAAACTAGATTGACACCAATGTAAAAGGTTTAGGACTTTCCTAACACTTTCCCCTAGATTTTTTGCGTGTTCTCTCGGAAGCGGATCAGCCTAACTGAAGGTCA